CACCAGAGAGGCCACAGTATCCCAGACAGACATCAGGGGGAGCTCCAGAGTAGAAATGGGCAAATCTATTGATTAGGATATTCCACACAAGCCCAGAGAGGAGAGGTGGCCAGAATAGGTTTGAGAGGTCTCCAGAATCTCCATTAGGGCTGAATGGAGAATGTGCTCCCTGTATGAAACAGGACTGCAAAGTAGGGGGAGAGGGCTGATTTTTCAAATGCCAAAATCCCAATAGAAGATAACAAGACATACAAAGAAATAAGAAAACATGGTCCATTTAAAGGAACAAATTAAATCTCCTGAAACTGGCCCAAAAGAAACAGACATATTGGGTTCGTGCAAAACAAAAACAAACCCCCAAAAACGACAATAACAAAAAAACAGACATATGAGTTACCAGATAAAGAATTTTAAAAAAGGGCCCTGGCCAGTTTGGCTCAGCGATTGGAGCTTCGGCCTGTGGACCAGAGAATCCCAGGTTCAGTTCCCGCTACGGGCACGTACCAAAAAAAACCAAAAGAATTTAAAAAAGAGAGTACAGATAAACAACTAAACAAAATCAGGAAACAAAATACATGATCAAAATGAGAATATAAACAAAGAGATAGAAACTATAAAGAATCAAACAGAAACTCTGGAAAATGAAAACAATAACTGAACAAAAATGTTCACTGGAAACCTGACTAGGCAGAAGAAAGATTCAGTGAACTGAAAGACAGGACTTTCAAGTTACTAAGGCAGAGGAGAAAAAAGGAAAATGATTGACTAAAAATGAAGAGAGCTAAGGGATTTATGGGACATCATCAAGCTGAAATATCTATATCTATATCTATATCTATCTATCTATCTATATATATATATATTCACACACACACACGAAGGAGGAGGAAGAGGAGGAAGAGGGGGAGGAGAAGGGAGTGGTGGGGGAAGAGGAAAGAAATGGATATACAGATTCATGAAACTCAAAAAACTGAGGATACATTTATAATCCAGCAATCTCACTTCTGAGTACATGTGCAAAATAATTCAAAGCAGGATCCCAAAAAGATATCTGCACACTCAAGTTCATCACAGTATTATTTACAGTAGCCAAGAGGTCGAAGCCATTCAAATTCCATCCACAGATGAATGGATAAGAAAATGTGGTGTATACACACAATGGAATATTATACAACCTTAAAAAGGAAATCTTATTACATTCTATCACATGGATGAACCTTGAGGACATTATAAGTGAAATATGCCAGTCACAAAATGACAATTACTGTATAATTATTCTCTTATGAGGTATCTAAAATAGTCAAAATCATAGAAACAGAAAGTAAAAATGGTTACTAGGGGTTGGGGGGAAGAGGAAGAGAGAATTAATGTTTAGGGGTATAGAGTTTCAGTGTGGCAAGAAGAAATAATTCTAGAGACCTGTTACACAACAATGTGAATGTTGTGCATGTTACTTAACACTGCTGAATTACACACTTAAAAATGGTGAAGATGGTAGATTTAATGTTATTTTTTTTACCACAATTAAAAATAAATAAATCTGAGCTATTAACTTTTAGCCCCTCCCCCCATGAATATATACTTTCTCCCAAATTGGACAACATTATACATGCTACTTGATAACAGGCTTTGGCCCATTGACTACAGGATAAAAGCCTTTCCAAGTTATTCCTTTTCCTTTTAGGTCATTTAGAAAGACTGTTAAGTATTCCAAGATATGAATCTACATAATTAACCAATTTCCTGTATAACTAAATCCTGTTATACCTTTGAAATAGTTTTAACATCAGCTTGTTTTATCTCTCCCATTCTAATCGCTTTCAGCTGTTACACTTCTCCCTCAATCTGTGACCAATCAAGATAATTAAATCAGTTTACTTGTAATACAACCTTATTTGCAGTTCTGTCACTTGCCCTGAGTCCTAGGTGAAAGGGACAGCTGTTGCAGCGGTGTGAAGGGAGGCTATTTTTGCTTATTTTGGGGTATACCTTTCAGTTAGATCACCTCTCCTAGAACTGGTTCTTGCTTCAGTGAATAAATCCTGATGGTGGCACATGCTCTTGTTGCCTTTTCCCTTCTCTCCCTCAGGCTCTTTTTTTCTTTATTGATGAGAGAGAGAGAGAGAGGAAATTAGAGGGAGAGAGAAAAACATTGATGAGAGAGCCCTGGCTGGTTTGGCTCAGCAGTTAGAGCGTTGGCCTGTGGTCCAGAAAGACCTGAATTCGGTTCCCACTAAGGGCACGTACCTCGGTTGCGGTTTGTCCCTGGCCCTGGTTGGGTCATGTGGGTGGCAGCCACTCAATGTGTCCCTTTCACGTTGATGTTTCTCTCTCTCTCTCTCTCCTTCCTCCCCTCCCTCCCTCCCATTCTATCAGAACAAAAAATGGAAAAATGTCTTCGGGTGAGGATAAAAAAAAGATAAAAATAAAAAATAAAAAAAATCGATGAAAGAGAACATTGATTGGCTGCCTCCTGCACACCTCCCATTGGGGATCAGGCCCATGGCCTGGGCATGTGCCCTGACTGGGTCGACGCTCAACCACTGAGCCATACTGGCTGGGCTCTCTCTCAGGGTCTTGACTGAATCTACCTGTATGCCTGGCCACCACCTCATTGCTACCTGTTTTTGATTTCTGAAGTCCTGCTGCCCCTTAGTCTGGGCTTAGGAGTTCCTAGCCTTCTCGGACTCCTGATGCCAATATGCATGCACACTGCTGGCTTCCACTTTGTGGACATTTTGCTTTAGCTTCTCACACTCTTAAGTAACCCATAGCACTTATTTGTGCTTTCTGACAACTGCACTATTTGACAACTTTGGATCTCATTAATAAGTTCACCACATTTTTGTGTGTGTGAACACAGAAAACAGCCTTCAATAATTAAATCAAAACAAAACTCCCAAAACACATATTAACTAAGCAGCCTAAATGTAGCCAGGTAGGCTCGTATTTCCCAAACTTGCCTGAAGAATCTCATGGAATACTTCGTTAAAAAACACATTTCCAGGCCGAAGCCAATGGACATATTATTTAACAGTATCCACATGATAATTATAACCAGGAAAATTTAGAAACACTGGGCCCTTACCTCCATCCTCAGAGCTTCCAGGACTCTGGGAAGTTCAGTTAGGACCCAAGGGAGACTGATAAACTTGTAACCAATCTATGGTAATGTAGCATTCATTCCACCAGGGGAAGAAAATTCTAGGAGTCAGCTGCAAGTTGGAATAAACATTGGAAAGTCTTTAGAGCTTGAGACCAAAGCAGGGATTTATGGTCTACCATCTCTACACGAAAGGTGGTTTCAAATCTATACTCCTTGGGTAAGGATCTATCCCAAATTCCGGGGTTCTAGAACTGTTGGTTAGAGCCATACAGTTCTTCAAAACGTGCAACAGAGAGTCTGGATCCTCTGAGGTCTATAATCCTTTGCTTATATTAAAATCACTTGGAGGGCATATCTTTTAATAGGTAAGGTTTTATTTTCACTTAAAAAAAATCAGCTCAAACTTACGCGCAGCAGGGTCGCGGCTGTGGCGGACAGAAGCAGCTGGGGCCGAGGCAGGCGGGAGGTGCAGCCATGCCTCGGTATTACGAGGACAAGCCGGAGGCGTGGAGGAGGACCTGGGCACATGTCTGTTGCAGTCCGACCATGTGCTCCAGGAAGGAAAATCCCCTCGGCAATCTCTAAAGGAAGGAAACTGCAAAGCTTTGAAATACTCATTTTTTGAATGTAAAAGATCAATGTTGGATGCCAGATCAAGATTCAGAGGAAGAAAAGGATATTGATAAGTATTATGTTGGAAGCAAGATGAATACAACAAAGGATTTCCTCTGGTCATTAAAACAGAAACCAAAATAGGAAACATACTTTTTTCTTACACCTGTTTGGTCGAACCATGGGACCCTGGAAGAGAATGAATGAGTTCTGTTTTTGAATATGTATAAAGTAAATGATTTTCTTGCTCTAAATTATTTTTAGAAGAAAATTTTAGTTGACTAGTGGGGAGCATAATAAATGTATTTTAATAATTGTTCTAAAGCACAGATTGTTCTTTTCAAACATGATTCCTTAACCAAATGACACTTTGTACATCCTTTATGAATATTCTGAAAACCACTGATGGGACTGTTAAAATCCGTAACATGGAGCTTGGGGAGAAAAAGTCTTTTGGGGAAGTTTAGAATAAAACTTGTGTCCAGTTTGTCCTATTTAGTTCTAAAATAAACTGTGTTTGATTATTTGAAGAAAAAAATCAGCTCAACGCTAGATCTTTGTTAGGTAACTGTTCTTGCAATGCTAGCTGTGTCATTTTTGAGGCTTGAGAAAGGAGCACAGAGCTCTGATATGTGCCTCAACTCATGCCAGGTCTTTGGTTTCTTGGATCAACTGTATGTAAGATCTGAAGATGTTATCCCTCAATCTGAGGACAACGGGAGACCCAAGCATGTGAGAATGCTAATATAAGCTCGAGAGAGAGCTAGAATCCTGACCCCTCTACATACACTATTTATTCACATGATCACAATTTCTATTCCTCTTACAATCCAACCATTTGATGGGATAATGTAAGGAGTAAGTAGAATTATATAAAAATTAGACTAAGATAAAATTAGCCTAAAATTGCTGAAGAAAACTCAAATGGTATTCCATGAGATAGCCAAAATTGAGGGGGGAACAAAATTATGAGGCAAAAATGCCTATGTCCTAAAAATAAAAGTTTTCACTCTTTAAAAGCTGTTATTTCTCTTTAAGAGAATCTTCTTTTGCATGAAGGAAAGTCATGCTACTGATGTTTATTCAGTAAGTAGGCTAAATATTTAAGCATTTCCCCCCTAATGGCTCTACAAGGTATCTCCTTCTTAAAATCTTCAAAGGTAAAACTTTAAAGGTTAAGATAGTGAAATGATGTAGAATGAGAAAAGTACTTTATTCAGCACACACTGACAGTTTTTTCAGTTCCATTCATAATTAGAGTAAAACAAAATCTCTTGCTGAATATTATGTTTTATTAAATAGTTAAGCTCAAGAAAAATATGTTCCATTTCAAACCCCTAGAGTTGTCATTGAAAGCTATATATTCCTTATAAATAAATATGTATATACATACATGTGTGTATCTACTCTTTTATAGAACCACTCAAAACAATTTAAAAGTCATTCTTTTCTGTGTTTAAAATTGTCCTTTCAAATATTCAGAAGTTCCATGGGCGGTGGCTTCAGTGGAATTTTCCCCAGAGTAAATGTCTTGGACTGAAACTGCTCCAGTTCTTCTGCTGTTAGTTGATGCTTGGGTGTGAATAATTCATTACCTGCTGTCATGCTGCCATTTGAGACGGAGGCAGAAGTGGATGCGCTGCTACTTCCACAAGTGTCGCCAAATGACTTGGAGAAAGGAGTGTGAGGATGTGGGCCTGGACTACCGAAGCTGGCCCCAGAACTGCTGCTTCCAAAGGCTGGGGCCACCGGAGCTCCAACAGGGCCTGCTGCCGCGGGAGCCGGGAATCCCGAAAACCCGGCTGAGCCAAATCCTGAAGTTGCAGGGGCTTTAAATGAAAATGAAGCGGCAGATGTGACTTGGGGTTTCCCAAATCCAGGAGCTGGAGTAGAAGCAGTGACAGAAGGACTGGTAGAGGAAACAGCTCCAAATACTGGAGTATTCCCGAATCCAGAAGGGCTTGTGGAAGAGGCAGGAGCAAAACCAGAGCTTGTTTTAAAACTAAAATTTTGAACGTTATCATTCCTGCTGTTATTTACTGGGAAACCTACAAATAAACCAGAAAAAGAAAAAAAAAAATCTATTATAATCAGAAAATGTAGCCATGTTACCACCCAACCTCTTCCCATTTCTCCCTTATTCCTGCCATGCTTGGATGTTGTGAAGAAAGATTACTGGAAGGGAGAAGAGAAAAGTAAAAATGAGAAGTAGAACAAACCCACTGAACCCCGCTGTTCTGTCTTTCTGCGACAATGATCTCATTTGCACTGCGATTTACTCAAGGAGGCAGCATCCAGAGCCCTCAGGGATTACTGAGTGCACTTTCGCTTTCAGCTTGCCCCACTCCCATTCACTAGAGCTGTTGCTTGAGGATGATACTATGCTGTTATACAAGTGACAAGGCAGGCCTCAGGGGTGCTGCTACCGTAAACTATGAACGTCTTGAAAAAAACCATTCCTAAAATATACTTCTAAAGCCTGCGTGAGCCACAGGGTCTTTCAAAGACCAATCCAGCCCATTCTGGCCCCCTTTCACTAATGCTTGATGAGCCAAACTCTTATGGAAGGTGGTAACATTTGCAAGGATAAGTTAAAATGGTACTTAACATACCTTCAGGCTTTATGATTTGAAACCTATAAAGTCCTATTTTCCAAAATCAGTGCCATCCTGCATTTATCACTTACCTGGTGACCCAAATGTTACTGTTTGCCTGCTGCCAAATCCAAATGTAGGTGCTGCTTGATTTATTCCATCTTTTACATCAAAGAGCTATAAAAAAAGGACAAATAATAAAGTATTTGATAAATAATTCTCAAGTACCTTTTCTATATATGTTAGAGCCAAATTTAATTTTTAAAATATGCACTTAAAAATGTAAAGTTAAATGTTTAACATAGAAAAATGCCCACAATATGAATATGTATAGAAAAAAATAAACCAACCTAAAAAATGAAGAGTAATTGGATGATGAATTGTGGTTTTACTTTTATTTATGCTTTTAAATATTTTCTAAATTTCTTCAAAAAACACAGATTAAAATCAGAAAAATACTTAAAAAATTTTTTTTGATTAATTTATTTTTGTTACAGATGTTTCTCCTTTTTTTCCCCATTGACACCCTCCTCTCCATCCCCCCCAACCCATACCTGGCTTTGTTGTGTGTCCATCGGTTATGCGTACATGCATATAAGTTCTGTGGTTTATCTCTTCCCTCCCCCCACCACCGCCTCTTCTGAGGGTTGTTAGTCTGTACCCTACTTCCACATCTCTGGGTCTACCCAATTCCTCAGACTGTTATGTTCATTATATTCCACAGATAAGTGAGATCATGTGATATTTGTCTCTCTGCTTGGCTTGTTTCACTGAGGATAATACTTTCCAGGACCCTACATGTCGTCTCAAAGGATAAGAGATCTTTCTTTCTTAAAGCTGCATAGTACTCCATTGGGTATATGTACCACAACTTTTTTATCCATTCGTCTACTGATGGACACTTGAGCTGTTCCCAGATCGTAGCTATTGTAAATAGTGCTGCTATAAAAATGGGGGTATATATAGTCTTTCTGATTGGTGTTTCAGGCTTCTTAGGGTGGAAAAATACTTTTTAATAATACATTTCATTGTATATAGGCTGATCTGCATTTCTCAAGAAACCTAGATATTAGGTATGGGACCTTTAGAGGGCACTCAGTTTACTTACTCTAGTACTTGAACTGAAGTTCATTCACAATGACACTATTAAAACTTACCACTGAAACCTATTAAACACTTCCCACTGCCCGCAAATACTTTATGCTCTTGCTATTTCCTGCTCTAGAAATGTCTTTCGTCTCTGCTTACTGAAATCTTAATCTCTCTTTCAAGAAACTTTTTACTTACCCCTTCCCAAAAAGCCTGTCATTTCCTAATGAACCCAACAGATATGATTTCTCTCATTAGGAAGCCCCAATAGCATATTTAAAAAATAAACTTTATTAAGGTATAATTTACATACAATAAAATGCATCCATTTTATGTCTATATATCAAATATATGTATATATAAACTTCAATGAGTTTTGACAAGCTTATAACCACCACCACTATCAAGATTTAGAACATTTCCATCACCCCTAGAAGTTTCCTTGTGTCCCTTTCAATCCTCTCCCAACTCCTGGCCCCAAGAAACCACCCATCTGCTTTCTATCACTATAGATGAGGTTTGTCTTTTCTGGAATTTCATATGAATGGAATCATTAGTATGTACTCTTTTTTTTTGGGTCTAGCTTCTCTCCCTTACTGTGATATTCATTAACAGGTAAATGAATTAACAAATTATACTCATACAACAGATTAAAAGAATAAAGAATGAATTACTGATACATGCTAAGCCATTGTGAGTGGACTGTCCAAGACCCTCTCCTACAGAGGAGCTCTAGAAAGCTGGCAGAAAGCAGGAAACTTCCAACCCTGAAGGAAGTTCTGTAATTCTTCGGACTCAGTTGTCCCTTCTACATCAGCTCTCAGAACGGTAGGTGGACTACCTCTCACCCATGGATAAAATGCTTTCAAGAAGTCCTACTACATTCAAATGGCATTATAATAACTGAAAGGTGGAAGAAATTAGCTTGCACAAGAGTCTAGTTATTTAGGACGCACAGAGTTAAGAAAGGATGAGGTGTTGGGACTGTCATACAGTCATTCACTAAGTTTAGGCAGCTACTACTCTCATATTGTTTTTCAGAAAGTAGAAACACAAACCACCTGGAAAACTGGAAATATTAAATTCTAAAGATAAATATTTCATTTTAAAATAAGGTTCTTAAGCCGTGGCTGGGTAGCTCAGTTGGTTAGAGCATTGTCTCGATACACCAAGGTTGTGGGTTTGATCCCATCAGAGCACATACAAGAATCAACCAACGGCTCTAGCTGATTTGGCTCAGCAGTTAGAGTGTCAGCCTGCAGACCAAAAAGTTGCGGGTTTGATTCCAGTCAAGGGCATGTACCTTGGTTGCTGTTTGTCCCCAGCCCTGGTTGGGTTGTGTGGGAGGCAACTGGGCAATGTGTCCCTCTCACATTAATGTTTCTCTCTCCCTCCCTCCCTCCCACTCTATCTGAAGATAAATGGAAAAATATTCTTGGGTAAGGATTAAAAAAAAAGAATCAATCAATGAATACACAAATAAGTGGGAAAACAAATTGATGTTTCTCTCTTTCTCACTCTCTCTCTGCTTCTCTTTCTCCCTTCCTTTCTATCTCTAAAATCAATAAGTTAAAAAAATTAAAAAGCAAATAAGGCTCCTAAGAACTTTTTATGGGATAGAGAAATCATAACTTTATCGACAGAGGAAATGACTACCCTTCAGTAAGGATAATGTATCATTGGAGACAAGTGGGTATAAAATAACTCCTAAAGGTGTTTCTGCATAAGACAAGGAATATATGGTAAATATCCTTCAGTCACAAAAGTATACATTAGTCTAAATGTGCATTCATATCATTTTTCAAAGCAATTTCTTTTCAAAGGCTGATAACCTGAAATATTGAAATTTATGTAATATTGTCCAATTTCAAAATTAGAACTACCAAAGTTTAAAACTTTACCCTAAAAATAGTTTTTAAAAAGCACAATTAGCCCTGGATGGTATGGTTCAGTGGTTAGAGTGTTGGCTTGGGCACAAAAGGATCTCAATTCTTGGTCAAGGGCACATACCTGGACTGCAGGTACAGTCACTGGCCCTGTTTGGGGTGGGTGTGGGAGGCAACCATTGACGTCTCTCTCACACTGATATTTCTGTCTCCTCCCTCCCTCTCTTCTACTCTTTCTAAAAATTAATGGAATAAATATCCTCTGGTGAGGATTAACCAAAATACTACTATTACTACTAATGTGTGTATTATAATTCTGATAAAGAATTTGAACTTTGCTTTCCAAATCGAAAGTAAAATTCTCTGCAGAAAAGCAATAGATAAAGTTTGCTTCCATGTAGCAAACTCTCCAGTACTCACCAAAGCTATTTTAGTTGATGTATCTAGACTTTTCAGCTCATTTACTCTGTTCCTCCACTGATTTATTAACTGTTGGACAGAATTTAGCTGAAGAGAGAAGAGAGAGAAATAATGAGTCAATATCCAGTGTTTAAATTAATCTCTCAAATGGCAACTTCACGTCTTGGTCAAAATCACAAAAAGTTTATGAAACATTTTTATGGCTCATAACTTGTAAAATTTGCATCGACCAGCCCCTATTTGCCAAAGATATTCTAGCTGCAGTCCCCTCTCCCTGGTCTTCAATTCCTTGTATAACCAGGTTAAGAATCACAAATACCTGGCAGCATAGAGTTAGTTGTATTTGGATGGGAGGCAAGCATGTGTACTAGTTAAAATACATGATCAGCCCTGGCCAGTTTGTTCCGTGGTTAGAGCCTCGGCTTGCTGACCGAAAAATCATGGCTTCGGTTCTTGGTCAAGGGCAAGTATCTGGGTTGCAGCCCCAGTCAGGGTTGTGAGAGGCAGCTGGTCAATGTGTCTCTCTCACATTGATGTTTCTCTCTCTTTCTCCCCCCCCCCCCCCAAATCTATCTAAAATGAATCAATGGAAAAATATCCTCAGGTGAGGTTCAAACAAACAAACAAAAAAACGCATGATCATGACTGTAGACTAAAAAATACAGAGTTTATGTCATTTCACTTAGCACCAAACTTATTCAGGCCCAGCTTTTTTATTTTTTGATATTTGATATTTAAGAATATTAATCTATATAACAGACTGCTTTATTTCACTTTACCTTTCTATCATTCATCACAGTGTCGGCACCTAAGAGATGCTCTATAAATGTCTGTCAAATGATGAAAGGGTGTGATTTCTGGGACTGGTTGTTGGATAACTTGTAATAAAATAATGACATTCCTAGTTACCACAGTCAATATATTATCACCATTTTAGATAACCAATCAATTTCAAAGGAAGTAATTTAGAAAATAAAAATAGCCTTTTCTTGCCCTGCCCAGTTTGGCTCAGCGGTTGAAGCACTGGCCTGAAAACCAGAGAGTCCCAGGTCCGGTTCCCGCTAGGGGCACATACCAAAAACAAAAAACAAAACAAACAAACAAACAAACAAAAATAGCCTTTTCTCAAAAAAAAAAAAATGTAGACCTCACCCACGTTGTCAAGCAAGCCTTGACTACAAACAGAAAAGACAGTAATTAACAGCTAATCTGTTACTGAGGTAGATGAATAGGAAACAAACTTACATAACTCTGTAAGTTATTGCTGGTTAAGAAGTTATGGTATTCAAGCCTCAACTCCTCTGGTGAAATGTCTGTAAAACCTGAAGTGAGGAATCAATTGGAATCTTTAAAACAAATGCCAATACTTTTGACAGGATAGTAAATCTAGAGGTGCTAAACAAGGAAATATGCTAATGTTGATCATTAAATTTTTTTCATAACTATAAGGAAGAAAAAAAAAAAACCCTACTCTTTCATGTTTAACAAAGTATAAAATTAGAATAAATGTAGTTGGTTATTTGATCTTTGAAGGGAGAATTTTTTTCTAAAGATAAACAGAAAGAAAGGAATAACAAAAAGAAGAAAAAAAGAAAGTTGACTAATATACATTTAAACTTCTATCTAAAAAATATTCTGCATATCAGAAACTATAATAAGCAAAATTAAAAGACAAATGATAAGCTGAGAAAGCTATAATTGTAACATGTCAGTAGAATACTTTTAACATACAAATAGTTCTTACAAATCAATAAGAAAAATAAGTTAATATGAGCAAATATAATAAACAGGTAATTCACAAAAATTCAAATAGCCAGTAAATAAATGAAATTAAAAAGTTCAATTGAACCCTGGCTGGTTTGGCTCAGCGGTTAGAGTGTTGGCCTACAGACCTGAGAGTCCCAGGTTTGGTTCCTGCTAAGGGCACGTACCTAGGTTGCAATTTATCCCTGGTCCGGGTTGGGGTCGTGTGGGTGGCAGCCAGTTGATGTGTCTGTGGCACCCCTGCCAGTGTGGCTCAGTTGGTTGAGCATCGACCCATGCATCAAGAGGTCACCAGTTCGACTCCCGGCCAGGACACATGCCCAGATTGTGGGCCTTACCCTCAGTGTGGGGCATGTGGGAGGCAGCCAATCGATGTTCTCTCTCATCAATGTTTCTCTCTCTCCCTTTCACTTCCTCTCTCTCTAAAAATCAATAAAGGAAAAACAAATAAAAAAATAAATAAAAAAAATAAAACACAAAAGAATGTGGTGAAGTGGACCTTCTCCTAAAATGCCAAAAACAGAATTTAAAATGTACAACTTTTCTGGGAGAAAAATTGTCAATAAGCATCAATTGCCCTAGAAATGTTCACACCTTCTGACCTTAATAGTATTTCTAAGATTTAACCTCAGGAAATAATTAGATGCATTCAATCTGTTGCAATATATTGCCTGGTAGCAGTGTATGAACAAAACTTGTTCTTGAACAAACATGTAGTTAGGAAAGGATGACTTTAATGGCTGTTTAAGATAATTGTGAATATTATTCTTTGATATTACACCAAACCTTGACAGGTGGTAGTTTCTAAAAGGTTAGCTGCAATATATCTAAAACATTTTGTACTATTATATTAAATCCACTGGTTTATCTTGAACTTAAAATGAATTATTCAGTCATGTATAATTTTACTTTATTTTTTGTAAATTTATTTTTATTGATGAATGTATTACAGATGTTCCTCCCTTTCCCCCTATTTACCCCCTCCTCACTGCTCCTGCCCCCTCCTGCCTTTCCTCACACTATTGTCTATGTCCATTGGTTATGCATATATGCATAGAAGGTCTTTGGTTTATCTCTTCCCATCGTCCCTCCCCTTCCCTTTGAGATTCATCAGTCTGACAACCAATTTGCACTTCTTAATTCCTTTATCTTCTTCACCCATTCCCTGAACCCCCCTCCCATCTGGCAACCAACAAAATGTTCTGTGTATCTATGAGTCTGTTTCTGTTCTGCTTGTTCATTTGTTTGTAGATTCAATTGTCGATAGATACATATTTATTGCCATTTTATTGCTCATATTTTGATCTGTTTTCTTCAAAAAGTCCCTTCAACATTTCATATAATACTGGTTTGGTGGTGATGAACCCCTTTAGCTTTTTCTTGCCTGGGAAACTCTTTATATGTCCATCAATTCTAAATGACAGCTTTGCAGGATAGAGTAATCTTGGTTGTAGGTTCTTGCTTTTCATCACTCTGAATATTTCTTGCCACTCCCTTCTGGCCTACAAAGTTTCTTTTCAGAAATCAACTGACAGTCTAATGGGAGCTCCCTTGTAGGTAACTAACTGCTTTTCTCTTGCCGCTTTTAAGATTCTCTGTCTTGAACCTTTTGCATTTTTTTTTTTTATCCTTACCCGAGGACATTTTTCCGCTTTTTGTTCAGATAGAGTGGGAGAAGGGGAGAGAGAGAGAGAGAGAGAGAAAGAGAGAGACTGATGCGAAAGGGACACATTGAGTGGCTGCCACCCACATGACCCAACCAAGGCCGGGGACAAACTGCAACCAAGGTACATGCCCCTAGCAGGAAACAAACCCAGGTCTCTCCGGACTGCAGTCTGACGCTCTAACCAATGAGCCAAACCGGCCAGGGCGAACCTTTTGCATTTTGATTATGATGTGTCTTTGTGTGGGCCTCTTGGGATTCATCTTGTTTGGGACTCTCTGTGCGTCCTGGACTTGTATGTCTGTTTCCTTCACCAAGTTAGGGAAGTCTTCTGTCATTATTTTTTCAAATAGGTTTTCAATTTCTAGCTCTCTCTCTTGTCCTTCTGGCACTCCCATGATGCGAATGCTGGTATGCTTGAAGTTGTCCCAGAGGCTCCTTACACTATCCTTATTTTTTGGGATTCTTTTTTCTTTTTGTTGTTCTGATTGGGTGTTTTTTGCTTCCTTATATTCCATAACAATGGTTTGCTTCTTGGCTTTACCTACTCTACTGTAAATTATTCTTTAAAGAATCTCTATAAATTATTCTTTATTTCAGTTAGTGCCTCCTTCATTCTGACTGGTCCTTTTTTATGCTCTTGAGGCCCTCACTAAGTTCACTGAGCATCCTTATAAGCAGTGTTTTGAACTCTGCATCTGTTAGATTACTTATCTCCATTTTGTTTAGTTCTTTTCCTGGAGTTTTGTTCTGTTCTTTCATTTGCGGCATGTTTCTTTGTCTCCTCATTTGGCTGCCTCCCTGTTTGTTTCTACGTATTAGGTAGATTGCTATGTCTTCTGGGCTTCCTAGGGTAGCCTATAGTAGTAGGTGTCCCATAGGGTCCAGAGGCACAGCCTTCCTGGTCACCCATCTGGGCCCTCAAGGTGCACCCTTTGTGTGGACTTTACACCCTTCTGTTGTAATTGAGTCTTGATTGCTGTTGACACGTGAATGGGAGGGTTTTACTCAGGCTGATCAACTGCAAGGACTGGCTGTGCCCACTAGCCACTAACTTCTGACTACCTTGGAGGATCAGCTGTGCAGGGGTCCACCACACAGAGCACGACTTACTTTAGCAGGGCTCTGGTACCCACTGAGTCCATTCCTTGAGTGTGTCACTTGTGGAGGTGGTTGGGTGGTGGTGTTTCGCTGTGTTCTGAAGCTGTCCACTGGGTGTGCTGGCTCTGGGGCAAGGTCAGCCATAGCCTGTATTCTACCCAGGCCACTAGGCATAAACTACAAAGTGGTCTGCAGATGGCTGCTTCTTATGCTGGGCTTGGAGGTGCCCAGGCAAAGCCAAGTTGTGAACCAAGACAGGCTGCTCCTAGTGCTGGGCCTGGGGCCACTTAGTGAGCAGTATTGCTGAGGCCAGATGCTGCTTTTTTTTAGAGCATTTAGGAAAATCTGAAACAGGAGCCAAGACAGGCCAATCCTATGGTAAAGCCACTGGGAACAGCTTGGGTGGGCCTGAAAGCTGGGTGGGGCATGGCCTCAGGCAATCAGGGAATCATCAGGGTGGGGCAGTGTGAGCCAGGTTTCTAGAGTCCCAGATATGGCACCTGTTTGCTGGCCTCCTGGGGGGAGAGCTCACCAAAGGAACAATGATCTCCACCAGCACATCTGTCCAGGAGAAAGCTGCTTCTCCAATCCTTGCCCCATGCCAAACAACTCAGTTCTTTCCCATGTCTCTGGTGCCTTTCGAGCAGCCTCCCCTACACTGGAGCTGAGAGGGGAGCAAGTCCGAGTAAGTCCGTGCACAGGCCCTTTAAGAGGAGCTGCCTGGGACTCCAGCAGCCTCAGCTTCCCTCAGGCTTAGTTCCCACTGGTTCTTACAGCCAGAGTTATGGGGACTTCTCTTCCTGGCACTGGAACCCTGAGCTGGTGGCCTGGTGTGGGATGGGGACCCCTCAGTCCTCAGGGAGGACCTTTGCAGCTGAGGTATCCCTCCTGATTTTAACCACCACACGTGGGTGTGGGACCAGCCTGTCTGCGCCTCCACCCTCCTACCAGTCTCGATGTGGCTTCTTTAATTTTGTTGTAGGACTTCCATTCAGCTTAACTTCATGTAGGGTCTTTTTTTTTTGCCACGTTTAATTTTGTAATATTATAGATTGATACTTTGGAAAATATTGGTTCAATGAGTTATATAGAACTTCGAAACATTGGCAATTATCATTTTTTTTTTTTTTTTCAGTCCTCACCCGAGGACATTTTTTGATATTTTGTTCGGCTAGAGTGGGAGGGAGAGAGAGAGAAAGAAACATCGATGTGAAAGGGACACATCGAGTGGCTGCCACCCACACGACCCAACCAGGGCCGGGGACAAACTGCAACCGAGGTACATGCCCTTAGCGGGAACCGAACCCGGGTCTCTCTGGACCGCAGGCCAACGCTCTAACTGCTGAGCCAAACTGGCCAGGGCAGCAAAGATCATTTTATAATATCAAAATGTTCATATTTGTTAATGTCACTATCTATCTCATCAGAAGAGACTGAGTATCAAGAAGTCATCAAGCTCACATTAGCACAAAACAGTTTTCCTTAATCTATTTTTCACTTGAAAGCTTAAATTTTACCATGGGCAATAAACGCTGTCAGTGTTTCCTCTGAAGTGACAGGCTCCCTTTATTTATTTTTTAAAGAAAATGTCACCAAATACATAAGTCTAAATAATCATAGGTCTCAGTCATTCTTTCAAATAAAAACTGTCCCATGGAAAAAAATTTTTTTGTAGCTAGTTCAACTCACAAGTCAAACGATCACACTAGTGCTTTCCCTCAAGCACACCACCACACTAGGATGTGGCAGAAGCACTTCATGTGCGCTGCCCATTTTGTCACACAGAATAGTAAAATATTTGCACTCAAGAGTTAATAAAACTAACTTTTACCATTTCATCAAGGACATCCTTAAGTAAAAATGACATTAAAAATTTAAATTGACTACTATTATAGTCTGTTAATACAGTTTATTGTCTCTGCCTTAATGTATACTAAGATACAAGGAGATTTACACATCCGTGCTTTTATTTATTTTTTTAAAGCCTCACCTAAGGACATGCTTGGCGGGGGGCGGGGGGAGGAGGGAGAGACATAATTGGTTACCTTCCATACATGCCCCAACCAGGGATTGAACCTGTAATCCAGGTCAGGTATGTGCCCTGACCAGGAATCGAACTGGCAACGTTTTGGTGCACAGGATAATGGTGCAACCAACTGAGCCACTCTGGCCAGGCTGCATCAGTACTTTTGCCCCAACTGTGCAAATGTCAACACAGTAAAAATGGCAATTAATATGTATTATTATGAAAATATCTTTGAATTTATACAGTCCCTACAAGGGTCTCGGGAATAAGGTTGCCAAATTTACAAATAATACTACAGGAGGCCCAGTTAAATTTGAATTTCAGACATACAATAAATACTTCTTTAGTATAAGTATGTCACGAATGTTACATGGGCTATTTATATGCTAAAAATATTATTCTTTATCTAAAATTTAAATTTAATGGGTACCCTATATTTTTTCTGGTACCCCTACATTCCACATTTTGAGAACCATTGCTTTAGGGCATTCATTAAGCATTAGGTTAAATTCTGAACTAATTTAAAAAGATTTAATACTTCTTTATTTTCTTTACAGAAAGAATCACCATTTGAAATTCTCATATTTACTTGCATTTCTTATTGTCTCCCTCTCTCAAGGACATAAGCTTCATAAGCGAGAGATCTTGTCCTTGCTCACCACTGTATCCCCAGCACTTAGAATAGGGCCTGGCACAAAATTCAATAAGAATTTGTTGAATGATTGATTAAATAAATGACTAAGGAATGGTGAGACATGAATTCTCACAGAGAATAAGAAGGTAGAGCTGAGACAGAATAGAGAACTATTCTCAGAGTTCTCAGGGATTGCAGGGGCTCTTATCTGCTGGGTACTTGCTGTTTACTCAATAGGGCAGAAGCCCGGGACCACCCAGAGTGGGTTTAGAGAAGTGTGGTGGTATAGGTTTCAGCCCAGAAAGGGCTTAGAAACTATAGATAATGGGAAGGAAAGGGGTATGTATGTATAGAAATGCTATCCTTATAGCCCAGCTAAAGTTCCTTACCTTTAAACATTATCTCCAGGATAGGTCTTCACATGCTTTATAAAGAAAAGCTATCCTTGCCCTAGCCGATTTTGCTCAGTGGTTAGAGCGTTGGCCTGTGGTCCAGAGAGACCTGGGTTCGGTTCCTGTGAAGGGCATGTACCTCGGTTGCAGTTTGTCTCTGGGCCTGGTTGGGTTGTACAGGAGGCAGCCACTCGATGTGTCCCTTTCACATCGATGTTTCTCTCTCTCTCTTTCCCACTCTATCTGAACAAAAAATGGAAAAATGTCCTCGGGTGAAGATAAAAAAAAGAAAAACTATCCTTGAAAGGAAAGGTAGGGAAGAAAGAGAACACGGAATCAGACAGCCAAGGCCTTAATGGCAGGCAGGGTATGACTCTTCTATTCACTGCTGGCAGCCAAGAGGTTCTAAAGTTGTACCTATAGGGAATCAAGAAAGCAGAGTCTCTGCCTGTGCTTATGGGATTGGAACTATGGTGGGTCCTGATTTTACTGAGAACTACATATCTGAAAAAAACTATACCTTCCAACCTCAATCTCTGAATCATGAAATTCTGCTGGAATACCCAGATACTTTAAACAATGTCCAAACTCTCCTAACAGTAGCTATGTTTGTGGTTATTTCTTTATTTCACATGGTCTTGGTTTTAGAAAATTAAAATTATAAAACATATTTTAAAAACATACAATTTCTCAGTTACCTGAAATACTAGGTTTCTTTTTCATTGGTGAATAAGCAGAGAACATCCACTGCCCTGATGATTCCCAAACCTCCATATCTTTCACAATTTCTTCCCTGACAAAAAAATAAAGAATCTTTTTCATCTGCTTATTAAAATTTATCATTTATAATTTTCAATGACTGAAAATTTAAATTGTAGTAAATATATGATTTTAGACTTTTTCCATTATATTTTCTCAAGTGTTCTTTGAAGCAGCTTAAAGAAATATAAACTGTATTTCATGTTATAGATACCACTATAATACTAAAGAAGTTCATAATTTTGGTTTTCCAGTATACTTAACCATTAACCAATACATTTAACTGAACTACTGTACCATACATATATTAAAGAACTAAAACATAATCAAATACACAATACAACTTTAATCTTTTTTGTTCATTATCATAAACATCATTGATCATTTAACTGGGAAAGACAGAAAGTACCAGGTAATATAGATGTATAGCATTTTAAAAATGGGTAGGACTTTAGAGATCATTTTGTCTAATTCTTACATTTTTCAAAACGGGAAATAGATCCATACCTATACAGTAAATTTGTTGGCACAGTTGTGGATAGATTCGGCTATAAATTAAATCCCTTCCTACCCTGTCTAGAACACTACAATTAATACAATTATAAGATACCATAGACAATCTGTATTAAATTTAGGATTTTTATAACATCAAATACAGGAAGGAGGGATTCATTTGTTTTTTCTTTAAAAAAAAAAAAAAATCAGTAACATATGGTACATGGCTCAAAATGCTTACCACTGGTTCTAATTTAGTTACGGAAAGTAAAAGACTAACAAGTATATTTTTGTCCTGGGAGCCAGGAGCTGAGGAAAGTTACAAATAGCCAGGCACTGTTTTGGCACCCAGTCATAAATTCTACTAAAAATGTTCTCAAGAAATGATAAAGAATTTACTCTACAATGAGGAATAAAATCAATTTGAATGAGGTAAATGAAGTAAAAGTTTTAGAAAGAAAAATATGAGATGCTCTGTGACCTCCAAGATCACAAGTTGCTTTAAATTACCTCATATTTTGTAAAGGTCTCATAATTTACAACAAACGTAAGCAGGACTACCTTAGAAAGATATTCACAATATAGTGTTATCAATATAAAAGTGGGAAAAGCATAATTAACTCTAAGAAGCCTCTGTACAAATATGGAAAGATGACACATTTTTAAGTGAAAATAAAGTCGTAGTTATCTCTGACTAGAATCATGAGTGCTTTTTCTTCTTTTTGCTTATTCTGATTTTTAAAATAATGTATTACTTCTTTTTAAAATATATATTATAGCCCGGCTGGTGTGGCTTAGTGGATTGAGCAATGTCCCATGGACTGAGAGGGCTCAATTCGATTCCTGGTCAGGGCACATGCCCGGGGTTGCAGGCTGGATCCCCAGTAGGGGGCGTGCAGGACAGCTGATTGATGTTTCTCACATTGGTATTTCTATCTCTCTCTCTAAAAATTCAATTAAAAAAAAATATATATATATAAAATAGGTAGCTTTTTAAAAAATAAGCAAATGAATAATAATTTTTCAGAATGCTTTCACTTACAGAAGTTTCTTTTCATCTTTCTGTGCATCAGAGCTAGGTGAAGAAGCAAATGGGTTCTGAGACAATCCAAACCCCCTGTTCCTATTAGTTGAATCTCCAGAATTAAAGGAGCCTAAAGATGACTTTTCTTGCTCTCTGCTACCCCCCCATGGTGTAGATTTGGAGAAACTGGATGGTTGGATAACACTGGAGTATCTCTGGTTGGTGGCATTCCATCCACGTGTGTTACTACCTGAAATAAACAATAAAACAATTTTACTGGAAATTAATCTTTTAAATCTATAAAAATTTAATTATATTTTGTCTTATTACATACATGTGGACATTATGCAAAGATTCAACATTTCCACTCATTTTAAATGACAGAACTCTTCACTTTCGGCTTATCTACTGCCGTTCAGTGTAATATCAACAAATCACATAATAGTCTAATTGCATTTCTGGTTAACAAGACTGAGAAGACTGTAAATCCCTAGAAAAATAATGACATATTACTAAATTCAGTTGACATAGGCTTATTAAGTAAACAATTGCTTGATAGTGGAGTGGATAGAGGACGTATATCTTAAATCATAAGCTCCTTCAGGATAAAAAGCTGTCTTTATCATTCTTTGCTCTCCCACTGGACCCTATATAGTAATAAAGTCTGAAAAATGGGGAATATATTAGAAAGTTTGTTGAATATGAAATATTATATTCATTGTCACCTCTGGACTTGAATAGATGCTTACATCTATTTGACTCAGTCTTCTCTTTAGGAAAACACACGCCCACCTATCTTTCACAGGGAGATTATAAAAATGATTTACATGTGAATAAATTGCATTGAGTTCCTCTATTATGAGCATATTACTAATATTTCATAATTATCAAAATGAGCCAACAGGACTCTATCCTTTCTGTCTCTGTATTTAAAAAAAATCTTACCAGTTAAACTATCTAAATTATTCATCATTTCCTACTTGGGTCCAAGATAATTCATCTTGTTTCTCACTTTCCATTAAATATATTAAAAAGTGGAGTGATGTCCTAGTCAGTTTGGCTCAGTGGTTAGAGCGTCGGCCAGTGGACCGGAGAGTCCCAGGTTCGGTTCCCGCTAAGGCACATACTTTGGTTGCAGTTTGTCCCCAGACCCGGCTGGGGTTGTGTGGGTGGCAACCAGTAGATGTGTCTCTCTCACGTCAATGTTTCTCTCTCTTCCTCCCTTTCTCCCTCCTGTTCTATCTGAAGATAAATGCAAAAAAGTCCTTGGGTGAGGATAAAAAAAAGAGTGGAGTGATGGGAGATATATTCCTTTATGAAAATTCACCTCCCAACTCTAAAACTCCTTAATAAAACCAAAACCAAAGCAAAAGGCAGCAGATTGCTGGACCAGGTCCCTCAAGTAGGGATTAAGGGTATTTTATTTTTCTAAATTCCTTTGGGGAATGATACAATTGAAGAAATTCAATTAATCTTTTGAATATAGCTTTTGGCCTTCATATTTATTAATTCCAAAAGCATTCACTTGTTTCAGATAGCTAAATACACTGTTGACTTTATGAGTTTCATTAAACTTTTTCATCAATCTATCCATTTAATGTTTATTTTCTAATTACTACATTTAGAGTGAGTTTCCACAGAATGTCAAATATTACATTCTGTTGATCACGGAAGTACATTAACATTTATGAGACCCTGACTCCTAATGTTTGGTTTGGGATATTTTATGACACCTGTTGTGGGTAATGCAAAAAGACTGTCTTCAAGAAGAGGGGTCAGGTGTGAAACCACAATGAAACTCAAGGTTGAAAGGTCAGATGAATATACCTAAAAAAGGGTAGGGGATAGTGCATGAGGGGTCAGCATCTGGTAATACCTTTAAGGACTATGTTCTAATTCTAAGAAAATAAAACCTCTTCATCTGACCTTTAAAACCTTGTGTTGTACTATGGTTTCATGTCTGTGATTTTTACATCATCCATAATTGGTTTAATGAAATATTCCAAAATCTTCGGCAATGACTTAGGTACAGGGAGCAGTCAACGTGGTCCTCTACCCGTTCCCTCATAGCCCAGAGTTCTTAATCGAGCATCCCATTCTCCCAATTTTACCCCAAATTTTATGAGCATGTACAACTGTCAGAGGAGTGGCTGTAAGCTTTCATTAGATTTACAAAGGAGTTCGCGACTTCCCCAAAGAGCCCTGACTCTAACCACAGATGTTAGCCTCTCCCTCGGAAAGCAAATTTAGTAAAAAGTATATTCGAGTCAAGGGGGGGGGGGGGGGGGGAGGGGGAAGGAGTACCCAGAAGGGTATAGTGAAGCAAGGATGTATCTGGTTCCACTTATGCCAATTTCCGAACCACTGCCACCCACCGACAGGGCAGTACATCCGATTTAGAACTCATTGTTGGGCTTAGTACCCAGGTCCGCGCCCCTGGCTTCGTCTGCTCTACAAAAACCGACCGAGCGCCCAGTACGCCGGTAAAAACGTCGGAAAGAAACTGCGTGCCGGGCGCTGAGCCGAGCCCCACGCGGGACGCCCGTTTCCCACCGGCTGGACCCCACGTCAGGCCCATCCCAGCCCGGCTAGCGGCGGCGGAGGGCTGAGGACAACGTCACCTGAGTGCTGTTGCTGTCGTCCGCCACCCGCACTCCAGGCGCCGGGATGTTTGTTCCAGCATCGCTCTCCAAAGCGACACCGGCCTTGAAGGAAGAACTGACAGATGGTCATTGCGGGCGCCTCCCCAACGGACCAGTCTCAGTAAGCACCCTCAACCACGGGAGTGCCGAGAGCTACCGAAAGTTCCGTCCCGGCGTTGTGACGTCATCTTCCAGCGCCTCGTCCCGCCCCCAGTGCGACGGGAGGCGTGGATTTTACCCAATAGGAATTGAGAAGAGCGGAGGGCCCCAGGTACTGTGTGTTTAGCCTGGGAAGGCGGAAAGCTTGAACCCGAACGTGGACAAAGAGGCGCCTTGAACCCTTGTGTGGTGCTTCGCGCTGCAAAGGAGGCTGGAGTTCGGAGTGAGAAGAAAGCGAGGCAAGCAAACCCAGAACTTGAGCAAGGCCCGGAGAGGGGGATTAGCTGTGGTTTGAGAGACCGAATGTATTTTCATTTGTAACAGCTGAGAAAGTAAAAGCGTGCCCAGCCATTCATCAGGATGGATAACAGTGTCAGAGAAAGGCAATTGTAACGTTAACAGGAAACAGTGTATCCTTTAAGGACAGACTGCAACTGAAAAGTATAACAGCCCCCATTTTTGGATGAGTACTGTGTTCTTATATATCGAGAAACCTTATTCTTTAAAGTCCACATAGCCCGGCCGGTGTGGCTCCATGGCTGAGTGTCACCCATGCACCAAGAGGTTTCGGGTTCGATTCCCGGTCAGGGCCCATGCCCAGGTTGTGGGCCTGATCCCCAGTGTGTGTGTGGGGAGGGGGGGGAGGCCATGCAGCAGGCGGCCAATTGATGTCCTTTCTCATCGATGTTTCTCTCTCTCCCTCTCCCTACCTCTCTCTCTAAAATCAATAAAAGAAAAAGAAAAGTCAAGTTCACATAAACGTTGCTATTTAAAATTATATCAGTGAGAATGAAATATCCCACTCTAGCCAGAAGCGTCGAAAATACAAAGAAGGAAGCATTCTCGATTTCTACCCAGTGGTTCCTGAGACGAACATCCCATATTCTTTATAGTTTCCAATGAAACATGACCCCACACCCACTTCTCAGTACAGACCTGATGTTGATGCCTTTACACACGGCTGCTTTGCTTTGAGCCTGTCAATACCATTTCGTTTAAATTTTACCTGAAGTCCACCTTCCCCATGAAGCCTACAGCTCTCTTTTGTATGGTGAGACACCCTGCAGTTCCTCTGGTGTTCAGTCTCCTTGGTTGCAAAGAATCAATAAACGTGACTTTGTTGGATTGTAGATTTGTCCCTGGGGGTTTAGGACAGCAATTTTCAACAGGTGTGCCACAAGAATTTTTAAAACATGCAATACCTTACTATTTATTCAGAGGCACTGCCTTCTTTTCCCTTGCCAAATTCCCCTGCAGCATTTTAGTAATTAGTTTATGTGTGCCGTGAGATTAAAAAGATTGAAAATTGCTGTTTTAGGATGATTGACTATTGTACTTGCTCACATACTTTGGATTTTGAGGACAGTGGAATCTACAGGAGCACTGGGAGTCATTGGTGCAACCTAGTTTATCTTTAAAAAAAATCTAGTTTATTTAAAAAATTTTTTATTTATTTTAAAACAAACTTAAGAGCTAGAAATATAGTACAAAGAATGTTTTTTCCCCGAGCCATTTGAGGTTATGTGGCAGACCCGATGCCCCATCACCCAAATACTTACTGTAATTCCTACAAATAAGGACTTCTCCTACTAAATCACAATACAATCAGCAAAACCAGAACATTAATATTGATGCTTTACCACCATCTAATCCTTTGACTCCATTCATATTTTGCCAGATGTCCCAATAATGTCCTTTAAAGGAAAAGAATTCAGCTCAGAATCATTGTTGCCTTACTCATATTTCTTTTTTTAATTTAAATTTTATTTTTCAATTACAGTTTAATATTTTTGTTAGTTTCAGGTATACAGCATAGTGGTTAGACAATACTGTACAAAGTTTTCCCTCCTAATACTTCCTCCTCTATCTGGCACCATGCATGGTTATTACAATATTGACCATATTCCCTATGCTGTACTTTACATCCCCATCACTGTATTATAACTACCAATTTGTACTTCTTAATCTCTTCACCCTTTTAACCCACCTCCCCAATCCCACTCTCCTCTGGTAACCATCAGTCTAGTCTATTCTTAGTATCTACGAGTCTGTTTCCATTTTATGTTTGTTGTGTTCTTTAGATTCCACATATAAGTGAAATTATATGGAATTTGTCTTTGACTTATTTCACTTAGCATAATACCTTCTAAGTCCATTCATATTATCATAAATGGTGAGATTTCATTCTTTTTTTTTTTTTAATCCTCACCTGAAGACATCTTTTCATATTTTGTTCAGATAGAGTGGGAGGGAGAGAGAGAGAAACATTGACATGAAAGGGACACATTGAGTGGTTGCCACTCGCACAACCCAACCAGGGCCGGGCACAAACTGCAACCAAAGTATGTGCCCTTAGTGGGAACTGAACCCGGGTCTCTCCGGACCACAGGCCGATGCTCTAACTGCTGAACCAAACTGGCCAGGGCTCATTCTTTTTTATAGCTGAATATATATATATATAATTTACATCTCCCACCACTTTTTATCCATTCATCTATTAATGGGCAATTGTGTTGTTTCCATATCTTAGCTATTGTACAGAATGCTGCAATGAACATAGGGCTGCATATATTCTTTCAAATTAGTGTTTTGGGTTTATTTGGATGTATACCCAGAAGTGGAATTTCTGGATCATAAGACAGTTCCATTTTTAATTTTCTTGAGGAACCTCCATACTTTTTTCTGTAGTGAGTGCACCAATCTGCATTCCCACCAACAGTGCACGAGGAGGGTTCCTGTTTCTCCACATCCTTGCCAGCACTTGGTATTTGTTGATTCATTGATGACAGCCATTCTGACAGGTGTGAGATGATAGCTCATTATGGTTTTAATTTGCATTTCTCTGGTGATTAGTGACATTTAGCATCTTTTCATATATCTATTGGCCACATGTATTTCCTCTTTGGATAAGTGTCTATTCAGGTCCTCTGCCCATTTTAAAAATTGGATTGTTGCCCTGGCCAGTTTGGCTCAGCGGTTAGAGCGTTGGCCTGTGGTCCAGAGAGACTCGGGTTCGGTTCCTGCTAAGGGTGCATACCTCGGATGCAGTTTGTCTCTGGCCCTGGTTGGTCGTGTGGGTAGCAGCCACTTGATGTGTCCCTTTCACATCGATGTTTCTATCTTCCTCTCTCTCCCACTCTATCTGAGCAAAAAAATGGAAAAATGTCCTCTAGGATAAAAAAAAAAATTGGATTGTTTTTGTGGTGTTGAGGTGTATAAGTTCTTTAAAAACTTTGGATATTAACCCCTTATCAGATGTATCATTGGTGAATATCTTCTTCCATTCAGTAGGTTGTCTTTTCATTTTGTTGGTTTCCTTTGCTGTATAAAAACATTTTAGTTTGAGGTAGGGTAGTCCCCTTTCCCCTTTTCCCCTTGCTGGAGTAGATGTATGAGAAAAAATATTGCTAAGAGAGATGTCAGAGATGTTACTATCTATGTTTTCTTCTAGGAGTTTTATGGTTTCGAGCCTTACTTTAAGTCTCTAATCCATTTTGAGCTTATTCTTGTATATGGTATAAGGTGGTCTAGTTTCATGTTTTTGCATGTATCTGTCCAATTTTCCCAACAGCATTTATTGAATAGACTGTCTCTACCCCATCGTATGTTCTTGCCTCCTCTGTCATGTTTTTTTTTTTTTTTTTTTTTAATCCTCACCCGAGGATATTTTTCCATTTTTTGTACAGATAGCGTGGGAGGCAGAGAGAGGAAGGGAGAGAGAGAGAGAAACATCGACGTGAAAGGGACACATCGAGTGGCTGCCACCCGCACGACCAACCAGGGCCGGGGACAAACTGCAACCGAAGTACGTGCCCTTAGCGGGAACCGAACCCGGGTCTCTCCGGACCGCAGGCCGACGCTCTAACCTCTGAGCCAAACTGGCCAGGGCTCTGTCATGTTTTTTTATTTATTTTTATTTTATTTTTTTAACCTCACCCGAGGACATTTTTCCATATTTTGTTCAGGTAGAGTGGGAGGGAGAGAGAGGAACAGAGAGAGAGAGAGAGAAACATCGATGTGAAAGGAACACATGGAGTGGCTGCCATCCTCACGACCGACCAGGGCCGGGGACAAACTGCAACCGAGGTACGTGCCCTTAGCGGGAACCAAACCCGGGTCTCTCAGGACCGCAGGCCGACGCTCTAACCGCTGAGCCAAACCGGCCAGGGCTCTGTCATGGTTTTTTTAAACATTTTTTTTCTTTATTGATTTTAGATAGAGAGGAAGGGAGAGGGAGAGATAGAAACATCGATGAGAGAGAACATAGACTGGCCGCCTCTTGCATGCCCCTCACTGGGGATTTGGCCCACGACCTGGGCATGTGCCCTGACCAGGAATCAAACCAGTGACCTCTTGGTGCATGGGTTGACGCTCAACCACTGAGCCACACCGGCCAGGCTCCTTTGTCATATGTTAATTGACCATATATTGCCTTACTCATATTTCTTTAGTCTTCTTCATTCTGGAACATCCCTCAGTCTTTCCTTGACTTTCATGACCTTGACACTATTAAGAATTATAGCTTGTTATTTTGGAGAAGTTCTTCAGTGCAGATTTATCTGTTTTCTCATGACAAATTTTTTTTCCAATGGAGTGAAAAATTCAAAACCTAACATAAAAATGTTCAGAATAGGCAAATGTAGAGAAAGAAAAAAATTAATGGTTGCCTAGGGCTGGGTATTTGAGGGATATAACTGGGTTGAATAATGTCTCCCCAAAATTCATGTCTACTTAGAACTTCAGAATGTGACCTTACTTGGAAATAGGGTCTTTGCAATGTCATCAGTAAAGATGAGATCATACTGGATGTGGGTGGGGTGGGCTAAATCCAATGACCTCATAATACCACAAAAAGCCAGAGACACACAGGGAAGAAGGCCATGTAAAGACAGAGACAGTGAATGAAGCGAGACAGTTACAAGCCAAGGAACAGCTAGGATTGCCAACAACCACCAGAAGCTAGGGAGAGAGGCTTGGGTATTTTCTATCTCAGGGCCTCCAGAAGGAAGCGATACTGACGACACCTTGATGTAGGACTTCTGGCCCCTTGAACTGAGGAAGAATAAACTTCTGTTGTTTTAAGCCACCAAGTTTATGGTAATTTGTTGCAGGAGCCATAGTGAATTAATACCTGGGGAAAACAGGGAGAGACTGCTAATGAGCATGGGGTTTCTTCTTGAGGTGATGAAAATGTTCCTAAATTGTGGGGATAGTTGCACAATTCTGTGAATATATTAAAGACTACTGAACAATACGCTTTAAATGCTGAATTGTTTGATATGTAAATTATATCTCAATAAATCTATTATGTACATAAAAACCCTACATAAAGAGAAATATCATTCGTTTTTACAATTTCATTTAAACATTTTTAGTATTTAAGATTATACAACTCCCAGATAAAGAAAACAATGAATATTAAAATAGAAACACTGCTTCACAAATTTTATAAACAATCATTATCTAACACATCTAAAATAAAGAATAAAATAGAACTTAGTCTATTTTAAGTTAAAAAATATTTAATATTACCAGATAAAAACATTGATGGTGACAGTTTTATATGGCTCATTCCATACATTTCATGATGTAAAAGGGCAAAACATTACTAGGAAAGGAATGAGTAGATGGGTTTGTAAAAGATATATTGACCACATAAATGAAATTAATATAAGATGACAAATGTTCGATTCAAATTACTATAAAACTTTTAGATATAATGGGGTCAAACATCTCTGATGTGTCTTGCTAAGAGAAAGAAATCATGTGCCTTTTAATCCATAAGAAGTTCAAAGTCAACACTGATATTGTATAACTATCAGTGCTATTCTAGTGACCTATAAATTTGCTCTAAATAGCTTTATTTTTGGCTAGTCAATCATTCTTACATAATTGAATTTTATTTAAAGTGAGGACTGAAGAGACAATCATTTTTAAAGCACTGGGTAAACTGACATAAATTAATGATGGGTACTAAGCTTGACATTTCTGTTTAAAAGATGGGATATATTTAATTGGATTGAATATATTTCATCAGGAGTTTGGTACATTTTTAAGTCCCAAAATGCGACTACAAAGTTTGTGAGAGAGTATGTGCATGCCTCTACTCACTCTGCCGTGCTTTTAAAAATGGAGCACATTTGGCACTAAACAGAACAAATGAAGACAAGCGAAATTATGTGAGACTAAGCTGCTCCATACTACTTTAGTCTTGACTAAACCTAAACAAACAGACCTAGCTACACAGCACTTCTGTGATGTATGAAAATAGAATCTACATCTAAGACGAGACTATTTCACTGATGAGCCAATCCCCCACTCTGTCATATAATATAGTCACAAATGTGAAATTCATTGAAGAATTCATATTTTCACCAAATGTTTAATATTTTTCAAGTTTTCCTGCTAGATATGTTCATGATTATGTGGGCAGCTAAAATGTGGTCTTTGAATTAAGTAAGGAAATCCATATAAAAAAAATCTATTTTATAGGGATCTTTCTTCACTTGAAACTTCCTTTAAAAACAAACCACCAAACTAAAACTTTGCAACCAAACTTTTGGAACCAAGTACTGGTGGCCATATTTTTGAGTCTCTGATGAGTCTTGAAGTCCACTCATTTTTCATGTTTCAAGGGTTTCTTCATTTGCTCCACAAGTATCAACCACACAAATTAAACAACTTGTTACTGGAAAAGCTCGAACTTTGGAGTTGGCAACCCATTTGTCTGTTTCAGTATTATATTCAAGAATGTGTCCTAATCGACCCACACCTTGAAAACCAGCCAAGACGTAAACTATAGAGCCAACTGCTGCACACTTCACAGTCACACCCTTCCATGGCATCGGTGAGACCATCTTCCATTCATTTAATTTTATATCATAATATTCCACATTGTCCAGACCACCTTTAAAAGAATAAAACAAACAACATAAACTATATAAACAATTCTAAGACAGCCTCTTCAAGTAATAATTCTTTGCATTTTTCCAACCTTTTATTGTGAAAATTTTTAAGCACGCATAAAAGGTGTAAAAATTTTATAATGCCCACTTATCTACCATTTGATTCTTAGTCTTACCTTAATACAGCAGAAATTTAACTTTTATTTTTAATCTAACAATCATAAATATTTAATTCTACAAAATTAAAAATTTTCTATCTGTTCTAGAAAAATAAAAAAGTAAACCAATCTGTGTATCTTCCTTCTGATTAACTTTCATTATAATTACTCAAATGTCTCACTTTGTCCTTATACTATTTATCTTTCAGCAGTTTATGAAAAACAGCAATGTGTAGAAATAGGAGAAGGGAAAGAAGTTAATTTATTATTACACTGAAATAATACTTAATGGTACTCACTAAAATGAGATTATGGAGTATCTATAGATTCAGTACAAATTCTCCATTATTTAAAGCAATTATTTAATATTTTTGTACACCATTTAAGAAAATAAAAATGTCAAATTTACTCATTAAAAAATAGTAATATCGATATTTTCACGCAATATTTAAACATGTTTAGGAATATTTGCCATTCAGAACTTGAATACAAGTCCTAAAGCCTGTATTTAAAAAGTTTTTTTAAAGTTCAAATATTTCTGTCACTTAAACAGTTCTTAAACTAGTGTGACACTATACCCCAGGAGGTATTTAGAAATGTGTGGAAGCCATCTGAATCTGTTACAATGGCTGATGGCATTACCCACATTTCGTGGAAAAGGATGTTAAGCATACTCCAGTGTTTCATAGTTCCCCAAAACTATAAACATAAGTATAATGATGTATGTGATAATGCTTGTATCTAGATTTTATTTTTTTATTCCTCACCCGAGGACTTTTTTTTTTTGCATTTATCTTCAGATAAAGCGGGAGGGATAGAGGGAAGAAGAGAGAGAGAAATATCGATGTGAGAGAGACACATCGAGTGGTTGCCACCCACATGACCCCAACCAAGGCCGGGGACAAACTGCAATTAATGTACATGCCCTAAGCGGGAACCAAACCTAGGACTCTCTGGTCCACAGGCCGTCGCTCTAACTGTTGAGCCAAACCGGCCAGGGATTGTATCTAGATTTTAAGAAATGTTTGTGGCCCTGGCCGGTTTGGCTCAGGGTTGGAGCATCGGCCCAGGGACCAGAGAGTCCCATTTGGTTCCCGCTAAGGGCACATACCTCGGTTGCAGTTTGTCCCTTGCCCTGGCTGGGTTGTGCAGGTGGCAACCACTCGATATGTCCCTTTCACATAGATGTTTCTCTCTCTCTTCCTCTCTCTCCCTCCCACTCTATCTGAACAAAAAATGGAAAACTGTTCTTGGGTGAGGATAAAAAAATATATATATTTCTGTAATTTAAGATAAGGAAATATCAGCAAACACGTTGGGAAAGTTGAACAGTGAATTAATATTACACACCTAAGCCATTCTGACCACCCACAGCAAATATTTTGTCTTTTACAAACACCAGTCCATGATTCTTCCTGGCCTCAATCATTGGACATAGCTCAGTCCATCTGAAAAAATAAAAGAATGTTTTTAGTGTACTGTTCATAGGCAGTAAAAAGACTCATACTAATTTATAAGAAAGATCTGTTATCCCAACTAAGTGCTCACTTACCAGTTACATATATGTGTGTATGCATGCTTACACACACACACATCTGGAAGGCTAGAAAACAATAGCTTAACAGTGATTTTGAGTAATTTATTTATAGGTAGATAGATACAGATTTTATTCCCTTCAACTCTCATAGGATATGAGATATAGAATATATCTGGAGACTCTTATTATGTCTTTGGAAGAAATCCACTTCCTGTAGTTCACAATAACTTGTAAAATGGTAACAAAAAATAAGGGAAAGATACATAAAAGACTATAAAGCATGAACACTGTCATATGTGGTTTTAATTAATATTTGTGTATGAATAGGTAAAACAAATTTATCATGGGCCTCTAGCAATCAGCAAATTAGTAGTATCCATTACTATTCACATGTTCATCCTCAAATTTACACTTAGGACTTTGGCCAGCTCTAGTAACTAAAGTACTATCATTCTGTTAAGTTTAATAACTTATTAGTATGTTGCTGTGTTCTCTGAGATTGAGAATATAAATGTGGATACAAGTGTTGAAGGACACCAGTTGACAGGTAATAGCATCATATACACATAAATCACAGACAAGGTGGTTAGCTATTTTTTCTATGAGATTAAATCCCTTCTGTTGCATATACTCCCATACACATCACTGACATTTGTGTTTGTGAAGGTGGTACTGGCCCACAGGCTTGTGTTCTTAACAGCCAATAACCAAAATACTCCAAACAACAGCAAAAGAAAAATTTGGCATAAGTGTTAACTCTCTAATATGGTTATTTCTATCTCTTCTTTTAAACAATGTGATGAATGTAACTTTTCAAAACATAATTAAGACATAATGGTTAAAGATGAAATAGTAGCAACTTATTTGTTGCCTTATATTTATGTATGTATTTTAAACAATGGTTTGGCAGTCACCACTCTCACCCTCAGAGCACCCTGGAAGGTGAGGTGGGCTACTCTGCCCCTAGTTTTTAGGACAAACACAGGTGCTCGCCAGGGGAAAGACCAGCAGAGAGCCGGGCGGTGAGAGAGCCGCACTAGGTCTTCACTGCTCTCCGTGCAGCGAGCCTTAAGAGTGGGCTGTCAAAGTGCAATCAACATAGTATGCGACTTAGAAAAATTCTCTCTCTACAGCCCTCTCTTCTTCAAATATGTCCATGGTATAAATAGCATGTTTTTATGTAGATATAAGTCTCCTGAAGGTTTAGAATTAAGGAAGTTTCACAAAACATTTTTCTTAAAAACATTTTTCTGACTGCACAGGTTTCATTTCATAGTTTCCAATTAAAGACATTCTAGGTACATAACACAAGAAAATTGTCAAAACTTGGAAGAAACATTCTTATAAAATATAACTTGGATGGCTAGATTACATATAGAAAGGAAATCAAAGACAGGTATCATATGATATGACTTATTTGTGAAATCTAATAAAAAAATAAACTGACAAACAAAATAGATCCAGAGACTTGGAAGTAGGGAACAGACTGACAAACCTCAGAGGGAAAGGAGGGTGGGAAGAGATAAACCAAAGAACTTATATGCATGTATGCATAACCAATAGACAGACAATAGTGTGATAAAGGTGGGGAGAGCCAGGAGGAGGGAGGCAATGACGGGGGAGGGGTGGACCGATATCTGTAATACTTTCAACAATAAAGATAAATTTAAAAGATAAAGAAAATCTTAGTAATATATAACTTATTTTTCATTCTGAGATTTGGAAAATTATATTCACACTACTTTTTTTTTCCCTTTATTGACTTTAGAGAGAGAGGAATGGCGAGGGAGAGAGATAGAAACGCTGATGAGAAAGAATATCAACTGGCCACCTTCTGCATGCCCCCCACTGGGGATTGGGCCCACAACGTAGGTATGTGCCCTGACCGGGAATCGAACCAGCGACCTCTTGGTGCATGGGTCAAGGCTCAACTACTGAGCCACACTGGCCAGGCATAAGCTGAAGCCATTTCTTAAGGTGTTGAGGAAGGGTCCAGGCTGTGAACATGCCCACGACCTTAGCACATTTAAAACTGTATGTACATTCTTAATAGAAGAGCCAAATTTTTCTGTTGGATTCCTTCTGCCTTTTGGCATATTCTTCCACTGAGCTTACAGAATATAATACTGTGAAACAGAGTTTTAAACTGATACATACGTTTCTGTGGCAGGATCATAAACTTCGCAGGAATTCAACACTCGGCCAGAAACATTGTTCCCTAAACTTCCACCACAAACGTAGATTAGGCCATTGGCTTCCACCATCCCATGGCTGCAGCGCTGTGTCAGCATGCTGGGCTTCGTGTGCCAGCTTTCTGTTCTCGTGTCATAACACTCAAACAAATACAGAGCTGAGTTTCCTGTAAAAGAGGGACCATCATGCTTGCAGCAGTGTGTGTGTGTGGGCTTGGAATGAAAAGTTGAGCCAGTTACTGGAAGAAAAAATTTAGGGTCATAGAGTCTTTTCTATACTCAATCAACAATACTAGCAGCAAAATGTAGGAATAGTTGGTATAGACCTTAAAAAATATTCCCAGAAGGATCTGTTGGAGAGACTTATTTATTGGTAATTAAATTTTAGAAAAAGATATTGATTTTATTTCAAAAGAAAGTTAAATAAGAAACTTTATGTATGTCCTCATGCCCAGTTCTGCATGATAGGAATGATCCAAACTTGAAATGTTTATATAGAGAGGAAAAGCATAACTATTTACAGATGGTAAATCCACACCTTAAAATAGGAAAACTACTATCTGATACTATTATGAGGCTTATCATTTAATATTCTGTAACAGTCACTGCACCATTAACAAAACTACTACTTCCTAGTTGTGTGGGTAAGCCCTGAAGTCACGCCGATCCATTCTTGAGTATACTCTCAAGGTATTGTTGTATGTTTCTGGTATATTCTGATTACACTTTAAAAAACAAAACAAAACATTTTTATTGATTTTTTAGGGAGAGAGAGAGATAGAAACATCAATGTGAGAGAGAAACATCTATCAGCTGCCTCCTGCACTCCCCCGACTGGGGATCGAGCCCACAACCCGGGCATGTGCCCTGATCAGGAATCGAACTGGGACCTCTTAGTCCATGGGACGACACTCAGTATACTGAGCCACACCAACGGGGCTGATTATACTTTTTTTTTTTATCTTCACCCAAGAACATTTTTCCATTTTTTTTTTTTGTTCAGATAGAGTGGGAGGGAGAGAGAGGAAGAGAGAGAAAGAGAGAAACATTGACGTGAAAAGGACACATTGAGTGGTTGCATCCGTACTACCCAACTAAGGCTGGGGACAAACTGCAACTGATGTACATGTCCTTAGTGGAAACTGAACCCAGGTCTCTCTGGACCGCAGACCGACGCTGTAACCGCTGAGCCAAACCGGCCAGGGCTAATGGCAAAACATATATTCATTCTGTTTTGCAACTTCTGCACATTATAGGAGCTCAATAAAAAGTTTTAGGAATGATACTATTAAAGACCAAATGCTTTGCCTGCCGGTGTGCATGTTGACCCATGCACCAAGAGGTTGCCAGTTCGATTTCTGGTCAGGGCACATCCCCAGTGGGGGGCATGCAGGAGGTGGCCAATTGATATTTCTATCTCTCTCTTCCTCTCCCTAAAATCAGTAAAGAAAAAAAAAGAAATATATATATATATATATATATATATATATATATATATATATATAAAGTCAAGTGCTTTTTTCCTTCCCAAGAAAAAGAAAGTTAGAACTTTACCCAATTATTTCTCATTTCCCACTCTGCTGAACTTTGCTAATGCTTAAAAACACTACCACCACCCTTATAATTCTCAATCGCAATCAAAATCTTGAAAAGCAAAGATCAGAGAGTAACAAATGAAAAAAGCAATGGTCATGACTAACAATAACTCCTTTTTTAAATAAAATAAAAAACGTTTAAACAGTTTGATAGATTTAATTGGTTGACATTAGGGGGGAATATACAGTATATAGCAGATATAAAAAACTAAGTAAGTGCCCTGGCCAGTGTGGCTCAGATGGCTGAGTGTCATCCCATGGACCAAAATGTCACCAGTTTGATTCCTGGTCAGGGCACATGTTCAGTTTGTGGGTTTGGTCCATGGCTGAGGTGTATATGGGAGGCAACTGATTGTGGTGTTTCTCTCTCACATGGATGTTTCTCTGTCTCTCTTTCTCCCTTCCTCTCTCTCTCTCAAAAAAAAAAAAAAAAAAATCAATAAAACCCTAATTAAATAAAAAACTGACTTAGAGTAAATGAAGTTATCTTTTATTCTTTCTACAGAAAGCATATTTATAGAACAGTTACTTATGATTATTTTTAGCACGTATCATATTTGAAATATAATGTATTAGACATTCTGTGAAAAATGCTTTTAAAGAAGGGAAAAGGTCACCTCTTAAATCACATTTTGGAAATCATACTTTTTCTTGTATTTATCTGGGAGGGGGTGAAAACTTAGATAAATACGCTGAACAAAAGTAAAACATTCTTTGGGCTAATATAAAATCATCAAAGAAAATAAACTTAATTAACATATGTATTCCATATATTAGGTTTACTCAGTCTTCCTAGTTTCTTTATTAGCCCATTACTTAGCTAAAAAAATTACTTTAAAAGATGAAAGCATGTAAAAGCTATATGTGTCTAGTCTGCACCTAGAATATTCATTCAGAAAAATTATTTATTACTAGATTTATGAGGGATCACTTTGTAAGTTACATAAATGTCTAACCATTGTGCTGTATATGTGAAACTAATATAATATTAAATGTCAACTGTAATTGAAAAATAAAAATAAAACAAAAAAAATTATTCATTTAGAAAAAGATCACTATTGGACACTAAGTTATCCACCAATGAGAAAGGTTTTTACCCTGTTCTGATCAATATCAATAACTATCAGTTATTATATTAAAAAGGTAAAGAATAGCCCTGGCGAGTTTGGCTCAGCGGTTAAAGAGCGTTGGCCTGCAGTCCAGAGAGACCTGCGTTCAGTTCCTGCTAAGGGCATGCACCTCAGTTACAGTTTGTCCCAGGCCCTGGTTGGGTTGTGTGGGTGGCAGCCACTCGATGTGTCCCTTTCACTTCAATGTTTCTCTCTCTCCCTCCCACTCTATCTGAACAAAAAATGGAAAATGTCTTCGGGTAAGGATAAAAAAAAAAAAGGTAAAGAATAAAGCAAATAAAAAGTTCATTCTTAGTTTCTTTCTGATGCAAAGAAAGCAAAGATAATACAAATTTTAAAAGCTTGAATGTAGTAAAGAGTCTTAAAAGACCTATAAGTAAGGCAAACTCTGAAATCTTAAAACAAATAATATTATGTATCAAAAACAACTAATCTAGCCCTGGACAGTTTGGCTCAGCAGTTACAGCGTCAGCCCAAGGACCAAAGAGTCTCAGGTTCAATTCTGATCAAAGGCATGTACCTTGGTTGCGGTTCAGTCCTTGGTTCTGGTCAGGGTTGTGAGGGAGGCAACCAATTGATATGTCTCTCTCACATCCATGTTTCTGTTTTTCTCTCTTTTTCCTTCCCACTCTATCTGAAGATAATAGGAAAAATATCCTCAGGTGAGGATTTAAAAAAAAAAACAACAAAAACCTAATCTAGAACTAATCCAGTTATTGTCAATGAAAGAAAGCTTTGTTATGACAAAAATGGACAATTAACATAACCTAGGAAATTGAAGTTCTTGTAAAACAATGACTTACAAAGGAGTAGGGTAAGCCTTCAGGGACATGGGCTCTAAAAAAATAACATATGCATTTAAATTATGCCCCAAATAGCTGGACAAATAACACCAACTGTTTATTTAAATATGAAAGCCAAGATACTCCACTCTAAAGCACATGCCCCAAACAAAAACACCGAGGAAGTCCTTACCGACTTCGGAACCTCCAGATGTATAAATTTTGCCCTCGGCGGCGCAGGCAGCAAGGCTGTCTCTAGGTGTTGGGGGGCCCAGTTTGGAATACCAGCTATCCTTCACGACATTATAGCAGTCCATTCGTTTTATGGGGAAGAGCTGAGAGCCACCCAAAATGTATACAACGTTGTCCCAAAACACGCATGCTGCATCTCTTCGTTTTTCAAAGGGGCAGCGAATGTCTGTCCAGCTATAATCCTGTAACAGGAAAGGGCAGGAAGCTTTCAGTAATGGAAAAATGTAGTTGAAAAGGATAAAGCAAAGATATAGTTGAAAAAATACAAAACACGAGAATATATTAATTTTCTAGAATAAATATAAAAAAGTTTGGCTTGAGACTATTATTTAACCTATGTGATTTTTTCAGAATGTTGGCTGCTTTGGGTCTTTTCTGGCTCTAAAATAAACTTTAATACATTTGGAAGTATCATCATCACCCAGTCTTCTCTTCTTTCTGCTACTGAGGATAATAATACAAGAAAATTATAAAATATGTAGTTTATTTTTAAAAAGTTTTTTTTTTTCCAAATATAAATATCCTTATCCTTTCCCTGCCAGATGCATAGAGCGTTATAAAGAATCAATGGTTGCCCTGGCTGGAGTGGCAAGGTTTCATAGACATTGCCCAGTACACTGAAGGGTGGTGGATATGATTCCCAATTAGGGCACATACCCAGTTTGTAGGTTTGATCCTCAGTTGGGACATGTACGGGAGACTACCAATCAGTGTTTCTCTCTCTCTCCCCCTCTCTCTCTCTCTCTCTCGTCAATAAAAAACATGTCCTGAGGTAAGGATTAAAAAAAAAAAATCAATGTTTAATTTGAAGTTTAAATCGCTATTATACTACTGATGTCTAAAGCTAGAAGGTATTTTGGGGACTTCTGTGAGATACTAATTTTCTGTAAACATTCAGTTGAGCCAGTGTAGTCAGCTGATGCTTAAAGCTGTGATATTTATTATGAAATAATACTTGAGTACAGTAGTTCCCCATTATCCGTGGTGGATTTATTCCAAGACCCCCAGTGAATGCCTGAAACCATGGATGGTACTGAACCCCATATATGTTATGTTTTTTTCCTATACATACATACTATGATAAAGTTTAATTTATAAGTTAGACACAGTAAGAGATTAACAATAACTAAAAATAAAATAGACTAACATATTTTATGTTATAATGTAAAAGTTATGTGAACGTGGAGTATTCTCAAATTGTACTGTACTCACCCTTGTGATGATGTGAAATGATACAATGTCTACATGAGGAGATAAAGTGAGGTGACACAGGCACTGTGACATAGCGTTAGGCTACTACTGACCTTCTGACGATACATCAAAAGGAGGATCATTTAGCCATGATATGAATTGTTTATTTCTCAAATTTTCCATTTAATATTTTCAGACCATGGTTGACTGTGGGTAACTGAAACTGCAGAAAGTGAAGTGGCGAATAAGGGGTACTACTGTAATCTGTTCTGAGTAGTCTGGAAACTTACTTTTTCTTCCCAATGATTAGAAATGGGCATCTATTAGGACTTCACAATGAAGGTTGTTCACACCCCTCTCCGTTTCCTCACTATGTTTGATGACATCCAAGGACAACTGTGCTTTTCTTTTATGTAAATGTCTAGGGGAATGTACCCAAAGTTACAGCATCTTGGATCCTCCCCTTTTTGAGCAAAGAAGCTAGTGTTTCTGACTGTTTTCTGAAAATGGATGCAAATAATTAGGGCTGGATGGAAATGCAAGCAATTCCCAATCTCACTGAAGATGATTAATAACATTCAGTTCCCTTTGGGAAAATATATCAAGTGATATCTATGATGCTAGTATTCCATGTTTCAAGCATTCATCAGATTAGAGCAAAGTATCGTAGAAAATGGCTTTTATTAAGGTTTCTTAGCAAAAAAAAAAAGTCCCTGATATAGAATATCTTGACTTCTGGTGATGATAAGCATTCTGCTTTTTAGGTGACCAGAAAAACAAAGGCTTAATCTACTTTTATTCTCAAATTAAGATCTATGTGTCCCCCTGGCTTATTGTGTGGTATATGTATTGGTAGGCACACAAAACTATAGGATATACAGAACTCCTCTCAATGCTTCAGTTTTACTGAATGGATACTGAAAAATGGGAAAAATATTTTAAAAAAATTTTTTTCTTAGAGAAACTGCATACAACAAAATGAAAATAAAAAGAGACAAAACAATGACTATTCTATAGGGAGCGATCCCTCAAAAGTAAACCAATGGTTCTTTTACATACTCTGCAGATCTATTCATAATTCTTATCTCACCAAGTTCGATAGCAGAGAAATACAATTTCATTAATGAGATACACTGTTAACTCAGTGAATCTCAAGTCTTGCCACTCTTACATCCAACTCATTAATATTATTAGCAAGCAATATGGCAACTTTTCCAGTTTCTAAGGATGTCCTCAAGAACACAGTTTCCATGCTCTTTCTTATTTAACTTCTATTCTTTTTTTTTATTTTTTATTCTCACCTGAGGACATTTTTGCATTTATTCTCAGATAGAGTGGGAGGAAGAGAGGGAGAAACATCCACGTAAGAGAGACACATCAACTGGTTGCCACACACACGACCCCAACAAGGGCCAGGGACAAACCACAACTGAAGTACGTGCCCTTAGTGGGAACCGAACCTGGGCTCTCTGGTCCGTGGGCCAACACTAACTGCTAAGCCAAACTGGCCAGGGAGGCCATTTATTCTTTTTTTTTTTTTTTTTTTTAATCCTCACCTGAGGACACTTTTCCATTTATTGCACAGACAGAGTGGGAGGGAGAGAGAGAGGAAGGAAGAGAGAGAGAGAAACATCGACGTGAAGGGACACATCGAGTGGCTGCCACCCGCACGACCAACCAGGGCCGGGGACAAACTGCAACCGAAGTACGTGCCCTTAGCGGGAACCGAACCCGGGTCTCTCGGGACCGCAGGCCGACGCTCTAACCGCTGAGCCAAACTGGCCAGGGCCCATTTATTCTTTTAATGATCTCTAATACTGCTACTCTTCAAATTAAAAATAACTGCTCACATAGAAGCTGGGATTAAAACAAACACAATACCCTTTCTTTTATCTATTTTTTATCCTCACCCGAGGACATTTTTGCATTTATCTTCAGATAGAGCGGGAGGGAGAGAGGAAGGAAGAGAGAGAAACATGGATATGAGAGAGATACATCGAGTGGTTGCTACCCACATGACCACAACCAGGGCCGGGGACAAACTGCAACCGAGGTATGTGCCCTTAGTGGGAACCAAACTCAGGACTCTCTGGTCCGCGGGCCAACGCTCTGACCTCTGAGCAAAACCAGCCAGGGCCCTTTTCTTTTAGCTAGATGAGCTTAAATATTTAGATGCTAAGTTATGAGGTTTCAAAGAATGAATCCCAAAGGCTTTGGTAACAGAACAGTTCTAACTTTCTAATACTGCTCAGGGATTTAAGTAGGAAATTAATGAGTGCTCATACATACCTGTCATACAGGGTTTGACTATGCTTCAGATTTAACAATTAAAATAAATTGCTCTCACCCGGCTGATGTGGCCCAGTGGTTGAGAGTCGACCCATGCACCAAGAGGTCGCTGGTTCGATTCCTGGTCAGGGCACATGCCCAGGTTGTGGGACCAATCCCCAGTGGGGGGCATGTAGGAGGTGGTCAATCAATATTCTCTCTCATTGATGTTTCTCTCTCTCCCTCTCCCTTCCTCTCTCTAAAATCAATAAAGAAAAAAATTAGAATAAAATAAATTGCTCTCTTGAAATTATAAGCCCATGGGGAAAATGACTAACCTTTGTGTGTGTAGTATGTGTGTGTGACACAGGAATAGGCTCATGTTTCTATTTACTTGCAATCTAGTCTATGATTCCTCTAGAAATCCTGAAGTTTTTAAATCTCTTCCAACTCTCCAAATACTGTAATTGGTCACTCTACATGTTAGACACTAAGTTTGATAAATACTAACTATATATAATATTCTGCCTAAAAGTTCATCTTCTAGGCAGAAAGTAAAATTATCCTTGCAAAAATTTCTTCCTAGAATGCAAAATGGGCTTTATTTCAACTAAAATGTAATGTTTTACATTTGGGATCACTCAATCTGTCAGATGTTAAGTACACCTGTGTTTGAACATATCTGACTTTGACTATATATGAATATATGGGGGGAGGGAAGCTTATGATCTTTTTCTTCTCTGTGTGTGTATGCGTAGACCTCCCTGGGAAGTCTGTTTAATTCTTGCTATCTACCTTAGTACCCTTAATCTGAAATAGACTACTGAGAAGGTGATTTGATATTTGCCCTTTAGTAACTTGTTATACTAGGAGATGAGGTGTGTAGTTGAGGAAGCAAGCATAGAGGGGAGAAAAATAGATGGGAAGTAAGGACTGTCAGCTCAGTGGGTGTAAGTGCTGGTCTTAGCCTAGTGATGGGACCACTCCCAACCTGGGGCCTGCAGGTGAAGGTTTACTTCAGCTCCTTACACTCCTAGGCTACCGGCGAGCTAGAGGGACATGCAGCTTTCCTGTTAGCAAATAGATAGATGAATAATAGCACTAGAGTCAGTGTATGCGTGTGGGCCAGGAAATGTTACCCTAAAAATATAATTTAATTCAGTTAAATTTTTTTTTTTAATCCTCACCTGAGGACATTTTTCCATTTTTTGTTCAGATAGAGTGGAAGGGAGAGAGAGAGAGAGAAACATCGATGTGACAGAGACACATCGAGTGGTTGTGTCTCTCTTGCATGACCCAACCAGGGCCAGGGACAAACTGCAACCGCGGTACATGCCCTTAGCAGGAACCAAACCTGGGTCTCTCTGAACCGCAGGCTGACACTCTAACTGCTGAGCCAAACCGGTCACGGCTAATTCAGTTAAATTAATTGAGGTTATCTAGTCCATGTGAGGTTCTGTATTTAGCTGCTGAGAAGATATGAAAATGTGGAAAATGGAAAGCCTGGAAAAGACATAAGTAGAAGGATTTCTCAAGTTTCCACACATCACACATATGTGCACCTAATACACATGCAGACACTCCCATGTATAGAGTCCTGCCTCCCTGGGCCTTGTCAGCTTTTCTTGCCTCTGCTGCGTTATACCACATTGGAGGCTTTTTTCAAGTTCAAGACTCCTTTTCTTTTTGTTGGTTTCTCCAACTTCCTTTCTCTGAATCCCCA